AAATTGATACAATAACCATTCAAATGTAACGAGTGAAGAAAACAGAACAACTTGATTCATTTACTATTCCTTTTCATTTTGAAATATGTATCAAATAAATTCTGTGACAATTATCGCCTTTCAAATATGGACTTTACATTACACTTAGAAGATGGAAATGTTTTCACATGGTTTGATTAAGTTAAAATAGATCACATCAAGAGAAGCATGAAATTTTACGTACTGATACATTTTTTTCAAAATTACTTTCCATGAATAAACTTTTAATAAAATAAAGAGTCAATATGTTTTACGTTTGATTTGTTTATGATATGTTTGTTTACAAATGAGAAAATGAAGCACTTATATAAAAGTTATGTGTTTTGAATGTATGATTCATGTGTAATAAAATTACTTTGGGCACTTATAATGCTTGTTTGATGACACTTTGAAGTTCAATATAGGTGCCTTGAAGTATATTATACATTTCAGCCTCACCTTCAGGCCAGACCCAAGTTTTATACGTTTTTTTAGTGCAATACTTTTACATTGTGGGACACATGATTGCTTTCTGCCCTTTGTCATCCAGCCATTAATAATTACATGCAGTCAGTTTCAAGTTTTCACTTGATTATTTCAATGCTAGAGCTACAGCTTGGGTTTAGCATAAAGACTGGACACTGTTAGCCTGGCTCTGACACATTGTCAAATATCACTTTCACACAAGTTTTTTATTGTTGAAATAAACAACATAGGTTTGCAGCGTGAGGAAGTAACAGTAAGTAGCCTAGCAGGGGCATTAGCCTATACTGCAAATACTAGTGGAGTTTCTACACGTTCAGATATCAAATAGCTTCTCAGTAGCTTAGCTCTTCAATTGATCCATTGAGGTGGCGGCATATCAAGCTACATTTCAGAAGCAGTATTTTGAATGTGGAGCATATCAGAGATGTCTGCTGTCTGACACGAATCTGCTAACACTCAGTAGATGACTTCACCCAAAACACAGACTTGTATGAGTGGCTGACACAACTTACCCATTGTTAAGTTTACTTGATAGAGAAACACATTTAGATGATTCCCAAGAATGCTAACAAAACCAAAGTCAACAAAGTTAGCTGTCAATAGAGCAGTCTGCACACACCATAGCTACAGCTAGCAGAACATATGAGAGGGAAATGGCGCACAATAAACAAGTTAGAATTTTTAAAAGTTTGGTTTGAGAGGAGCCAAGGGGTAAGTTGACCCACTTAACCACTTGACCCACCCGCATAATTTCTACCTCTCTGTGATGTCGAGAATCACACATGAGAAGTGCTAAGTATTTTTGTCAAAGTAAGTATTGGTGTATTTACATTTATGTAAATAAAATTTGTGAAGATCTTTCAATGATGTATTTGTAAAATAGTTGAAGCACACAAAACATGAAACATGTCTGAAGAATAACCTGAAATGCTAAGCTATTTAAAAATGGTGGCCATGGGAACAAGTGGAGTAAATTGTGACAGTACCAGTAATATTAAAGAGGACAAATTATACCCCTTTTCTACCTTTAAAAACAGTCTCCTGTGGTCTAAATGAAACATCTGTGCTGTGCTTTGGTCAAAATATACCATATATCAGAACGCTCTGTTTTGGTGTGTGTGTCTCATTAAATGCAATGAGCCCCCTCTGAGTTTTCCTGGTAGACATCACTCCTCTGTAGAGAGAATAAAAATGGCAGACCTGCACAAATGTTTGGGGTGGAGATGGGTATATATTTTTTTTTTTACCAGAATCCGACTTCTGATGTCACAAGTTGAGCAAATTTGAAAAGGAGGATTTTTCTCTGTGTTGTAAGACTTATGCAGACCAGAAACAAAGGACTGGATGGGTTTATTTCACATTTTGTGGGTCAGTAGACACCCAGGTTACCCAAATATATGTTCAAAAACACTGTAAAAGTGTATTTTTCATAATACTGTATGTACCATTTAAGTCTACGTCTTTACTGGTCCAAATTATTTGATCAAGAAAAATTCAATTATAATGTGTGATGTATGAGTCACTGCAGCTGAGCTCGCTTCATAGAACAACTTACATCTTAGTTCACTACAGTATGCATTAGCCAGCCCAAGTTTGTTAATTAGTAAGCTCTAGGAGTCAAGCTGTCGCCCACACAATATGTGATAAAATATTTAAACTTTGTGTGAATTTATTGGAAAATGTGTGCACTACAGTATCACAAGGTTCCTTTAAAGTTTATTCTTTTTTTGCAAACACAACAATATTATTCACATATGCATAGTGTTATGCAATGAATTAAAATCATTCTAAATATTTGATTTGATCATTTCATAGTTCATGTGTATCATATTTATATACAAAGTGCATCCTAGTTAGAAAGAAAAGAAAATCATTAAAAAAACAGTTCATTTTGGACAGTTAATTACAAATACAGCAGCATATGGAGTCAAAAACAAAACGTAAATAATCTTTGTGTCTATATGACTTTATACTTCTGACTTCTACAGCTTCTTTTGGTATTTTTGTTCAATGTTAAGTGATTTTGCATTTTAAACACAGATCTATAGCTTAGTTGAACATGCTGTGGTGTTCATTGAAGGCCCATTTCTGTAAAATAAAAAACAGATGACAGATATTTAAGAAGTACATAATAAAATATACGAATCAAGATGATGGACGATATCTGGAAAAGTCACCTGTTGTTTTCAGCTTCATCCGTCGTCTCAGGAAGATCTTTTCTGCAAGTCTCCGGCAGCAGGAAGCCGAGATCTCCGCTTATGATTGTAATGCTGCTGAAGATTGTGCTGGGTATGACCCGATGGTAGACGGACAACATGTTGACCAACGGCGCCAACAATCCACCGATTCTTGAACCTATGGCTCCCAAACCTGTGGCTGTTTGTCTGAAAGGGGAAGTCACACATTTGGGTCAAAGAAATGTTTTTGCTCAAAAAAAGTTGGTTAAACATTCAGCTGGAGGGCTTATCACTCTCATGTGTCAAACCATTGATCAGAAACAGAAGCAAGTAAATATTAAGAAATGTATATGTTGATGTTTTCCTCAAGTTCTTTAAAGTTTACTTTTAAAGTCATTGAGCACCTACCTTACAGATGTTGGAAACAGCTCTTGGATAAAAATACAGCATATTGTACCCCCCCCCCCCACATCAGGAGAACACACGCTATGACGGCTAAGGCCGTAACAGCGCTGTTACATCCTGAAAAAACAAAACATACCATGCATAAAACAACTTTTTTAGAACTAAATGGGCATGGTAGAAAATAGTGCTTTGCTGATATGAGCTGGAGTTTCCCCTGAGGAACAGCCAGGATAAGTATGCAAGAGATTCCTCCAAACAGAATTGTAGCTATCAATAATTTTTTTCCTCCAAAAACCTCCAGCAACCACATGCTGAGTGTGTGGGCTGGAATCTCAATCGCTCTGAACAAGAACTGAGTGAGGAAGATGCTCAAGGCTAAGTTTGCCATATTGAAGAACAGGCAATACACCACAAGGGTCGTAGTAAACCTGCAGCAAAGACACAAATGTGACACATAGATTCAACTGAGCACAACTAATTAAATATAGGATATATTTTATAGCATTTATAATATCCACATGATAACTTTAGCATATGTAGAGTCTTTATACACGTAAACGCTTAAAAGTTACACACAGTAATTTCATCCATTCTGAATTTAAAAAAAGTAAAGTTTTGGGAAATTTCAACTCACATTGCCAGTACAATTATAAAGAAATATTTCATCAGCACAGGGGATTTAAATAAAACTTGAATGCCTCCTTTGTTTCCAACTTCTTTCACATCAATCTGCAATAAAAAATGATCAACAGAGTAAAAAATTGAAGATAGAATGTGCAACATTTTAAACATAATTACAGCAGAAATCCAGTATATCCTAAATGTAAATGTCTCTCTGAGTCATGACAGTTTACAATGAGTGAGACACGCGAGTCCCGCAAGCTGTGTCAGAGCCGCATTTACATCAGGTTTACATGGACGGGACGCCGTCCTAACATTAGCCTGCTAACAAAACAATTCAGGCCACAGGCAATTGCAGCTCAAGCCAAGGACAATTTTGTCCGCTGCCAGCGCTTAATGGTGTTTAATTATGATGTGTTCCAATTTAACTACGTGGTCGCTTTTTAGATAAGCTAATTTCTTTGGGCAAACTCAACACTATATTTTTTGAAAGCACAATGAGACTGTATAAAAGATCCCCAAAGGCTCCCCAAAAGTGAAGCCTATATTTAGAGCTCCCCCTACTGACTGACTGCAGTACAGGTCATGAACAGTCTCCTCAATGTTAACAAATGGGACATGAGTCAAACTATAAAATGAAAGTACACTGCACATAAATGTATCTCAAACATGGTTTGTGTTTTAAAGTTAGGTCTAATCACACTGATATGTGTCTGAGAGTTTGTTTCTCAGAGAAGTTGAGTTTTGGTTGTTATTTGATGCTATAAAAAAGTTATAACGATATGATTGACAGCTCTGTTGGAAGATGAGGCCCTTCTTGCACTGTGTGATGGGCAGAAAAGAGGAGGAACAGCGATAGAAATCATATTGGATTTCACTTTTGAAACAGGGGGGGAAGTGTTGTCCATCTTCAATACCTGAAACAAATGCAAACAGCCTGCATTCTTTCTAATGACCAGAGGGGGGAGCACCCTACTTGTTTTAAGAGAAGTCCAATTTTATGGAACATGATGAGAAAATGACCCTACTGATTTATCAGGCCTCTTAACATTTTCCTTGTTTCAAGTCTTAATTTCAACCATAGAGATTCACCCTCTCATTCAAATATTGTCACTTCTTGCTAAAAAAAAAAAAAAAAAAAAAACAGAACAAGATGACAATAGCTAATATGCCAAAGTTAGGGTACCAAAAGGGGAGTTCACAAACCAATACATTAAGTCAAAGTGGCTACATCTACCTCTTATAAAAGTCCATATTGTAAGAAAACTAATGTGGAAGGTTCAGTACCTTTTCCAACACGTAGTCTGGAACAGTGCGCTTATTGATGGCTGCTGCCTTCATGATCAGCTGTTTGGCCTCTTCTGTCTTTCCTCTGTTCAACAACCACCTGGCTGACTCTGGAATAAACCTGACAGAAACAAACCGACTGATCAGATATTCTGTAATTTACAAATAAACAAAAATGGAAATTATCAAGAGGTAATACACACCAAATGTAGACGACGGTAAGAGTAAGTGGAGCTGCTGTGATGAGTTGTGTGACTCTCGAGTCTCTCATGATGTAGATCAGACCAGCGAGGATGCATTGACCCACTGCACCAAATCCACTCAGTGGCTGAGTTAAGAATCATACACAGCATGTTTTAGTAACATGGGAACATTTCACATATTTTGATTTTATTCACAATTTAAAGGATAAACATCATAATCAGCTCATTTTGAAGTAATGACATTGCCATGAACCATCGAATTTCTGTTATGTAGGTTTCTTTAATATGTTGTCTCAGGTATATTATAAAGTATATATCTAAAGGTCTTTGAAATTCATGATATGTAATAAGTAGAGTTAAATGTGTTATAGGAACTGAGAGTACTCACACAGTATGATACAGTTGACTCGAAAACCTCCAGCTCCAACTCCCACTATGAGCTGGAAGGCTAAATACAGGTAGAAATTTGGGCTTAATGCTGCTGCTATGATAAAAACAAACAATATAACAATAGGGATTTGATTTGCTCGTTTGCGACCAAACCTGCAACAGAAAGAGAAGTACAGATACACAGCGTGTTAAGGAGTCTCACAGCTGCTGCAGAACCTTGTTCAAGAAAACTTTGAAGGACCTTTTTTAGACAACACAGAGGGATTTCTTTATACCTGTTCCCCAATAAACTGTCTAAAGTGTGTCAGTATGAAACGTGTCCCCTTGCTATGCATGCCATGGCAATGTACAGTCAATTTGTTGGGCTCCATGCATGTATAGTAAATACATGCCTTCTTGACCTGAAATAATGAAATACCTTTTCTTTTTTTTAGATGTCAATGTATTTTGCTTAAATTGACACAAAAAACAAGCTTTCTTGCTAGGGTTGCAGTATTGATGTTTTTTAGTTTGATGGGGCTCACTGAGACACAGTTACATTTTTCCTGAAACCTAAACATTGTAGAACTGAACTCCTAGAAACAATGTTTAACACTTTCAAACCCATCCTGATCCATTCAGAGAGACTAAGCAATGCTTTATAATTCTAAGACGCACAGACACTAGTGGTGTTTTCATCTGACCTGTTGTTGAGTTAACAGATGTAAAACCCGTTGTTGAGTCTCGCTGTTAAATTCCTCCCAAAATATTTGCTCAAGGTGGCTGAAATATGGCACAGGGGCCAAAAATTAGCAGTTTGTCCTTTTGGCATGGTAGTGGGTGTGGCCCCCTGCCACTTATTATTTAGCCCAGCACCCCTTTATGTTTGAAGGTTGTGTGTCTTTTACCACTTGAAAACATGTACATGTGTGCACATTGTCATAGGTAGGCCTATTGCACATTTGCCCTTGTTGATATGATAAAATTATATACATACTTGGGATATGTGTGTGGTTATTTCTTAACATGAAAGAGGAAAAAAAAACGTCTGCATAGTATTTACATACGATTCAGCAAGAAGGTCCAAATATGAGGGAACCAATAAGAACGCCGGCCATGAACACCGTCTGTATTACTTCCACCAAGTTAGCGTTGTCACACACTAGGTTAAACTGTCAAAAAAATGTTTGATGACATTTTTAATGTGACTGAAACACAATAAATGAATAATAAATGTTTGCTTATTCACACCTCCTTACTTACATCAGTGACCACAGTCCTGTCATACATGTTGTTGATGTACACCCATCCATTCTGGCACCCTGTGATCTCATTTAGTCCGTGCTCCCTGATGGTACTAATGTTCCCGTCCACAGGTTTGAACATCCGACACCTGCTGAAGGTCCCATCCTCCTCCCGGGGCAGAGTCAGGTTCAGCTGCTCCTCTGGGCTCAGGTCAGGATCAGCACTGAGGATCCAGTCTGTGTTACAGTGTCGATCCGGATCAAACTCCACAAAAAGAAAACTTTCAAAAATAAAAGCCTGAACCAAATTTGGAAAGCTGAGTGCAAGCAGAGTGAGCTTCTGGAATAATCCAAACTCTCCAATGTGCCTCAGGATCTCCCCGAAATCCGTCATGTTAGAGTCTGTTGTCTTACACTGAAGGTTTGAATGTCTGTGTACCGCAGGTCCAAAGAAAACCTGTTGATGTTTAACTTGAACCTGAACCCAACTTCTGAATGTTATCTGTATATTTCAGCGAGCACACCCACACAGAGCCTTAATGGGATACACAACTGGGTCCCAGCCAATGTTTTTATTGAGGCCCTTCATTGGTTAGCCCATGGGTTCTTCAAGTGGCTTTTTTGGGCTCCATACTGAAACCATATTAGTAAAATGTAACCCAGAGATGATTCCCTGTTGAGAGAAATGCGTTTGTTGGTCAAGCTAAAATGCAAACACAAATGAACAACGTTCACAAACCACAAACACTGAGGTGAAACGGGGTAAACGCAGGTTAAATGGTTTGTCCATAAATGTCACAATCCAAATCATTATTTGATGAAAACTGAAAATACTTATATTTTTGGATTTCCACATAAAATTCCTCGCCAATCCGAGTCCATGTCCTGTAGAAAACCAGTTGATCCATAAAAAACCATAAATTGTAACACAGACATGCAACAACAGAGATCCATTTACTGATTTGAATTGTTGGTTTCAACATATCTGTTTGTGTTAAAACAAGCTTTACTGCCCATATTTGACAAAAAAAAGTTGTTTTTCATAAAATAGATCCTAACCTGCTGTTATTTTGTATATGTTCTAAATGCAGTTTACACAAAGGATTCAGATTTTTTAACAGAACCATGTTTTTTCCACAAAACCAACAAAGTGTTGTAGTAAAAAAGGTATACTGTAGGTACAATTTGGATTTCTTACATCAGGAAAAGTCTGGTTGAATGGATTTGGACGTTAATGTCCTCAACATACTGGCCAAGGTCTGGACATTTTCAGGAGGGATTTTATATTAAGAGGCTTAAGATGTGACACACATGGGGGGTTGACAACATGACTTTATGAGAAGAAAAGTCTTCAAATTAAGAAAAATGTAACTTATTTTTTAATAATGTTAGTCTCAAATAAAATAATTGATTTTAGATTGTAAGTGAGCTTTTCAAAACACATTTGAAATACTATTTTATCATTTCAAAAGGGATAAAAGACAATTAGTTACAAATGGACATGGTATTTGTCCAGTATTTTATATATATAACTTTGCATATGCCTGTCAGTCTGAAAACAAAACAAAGCACAGAGAGTTGTTTGAACATTTTTAATTTACAACTTCAGCATCACACTTTAGTGGACAATAGATTTCAGACAGCAGTTAATAATTTAAGAAAAGCTACAGTATTAGTTAAACGTAAAACAAGTTGAAGACATATAAAGTCAGCCAGTGTGGCACAAGATGTGATATCATGGTGTCACTGACATTAACAGGGTTTTTTCCAGCTATCAGATCAGGTTTTTTGGTGTAACAGTTAAATGGAAATCATGAATCATGAAGTACTCAGGAGGATTGATTCAGACAGACATTCAGACTTACTATCAGAAATGATTGAATATCTGCAGTAAATGTCAGGCCCATATGGCATTAGTAGCCCAACAACTGACCAAAGTCAACAGACAGGGAGGTGAGTTAGATATAAGGAGACTACAGTTTCGTAGATTTGCTTTGTGAAGAGTTGTGTGATTCATATTTGTTCTTCGTGGTGACCTGTTTCCTGTGGGACAAAGGAGCACATAGTCATTAGTTTTATCCAACAGTCATTTGTATTATTGGATTGTTGTTGTGTTTTTGCAAGAACAAAAAAAGTGCATATTTTTCAATTTCATTTCAGTGAACCTGTAACCTTGTGACTCTCTACCTCGAATCAGGAACATGATACCAAATGAATCACACCTGTTCAATGTCACCCGCTGCACACTATATGTATGATGCGCACCCTCACACTCTCCCTCTTTCTATTTTCCTGGTCGGGGAGTTTTTACCATCTTCTTGTATTGTTTTTCCTTGTTAAAACCCTCACGATCTTGGCTGCAGATTAGCGAGCTGCCGTGTGCTGTATGATTTTCTTTTGCTTATGCAAAGACAAAAACATTTTAAATGAAAAATAAAAATGATTTCATCCTTTAAAAGCTGTTTCTACTTTTGAAAAAAAAAAAATTACATATTAAATTGCTGCATGTGTGGTTTTCTTCACAGACCCTCCAGTACTGAGAGGGAAGACAGAAAGGTGCTGCAGTAATTGGATCATGGCGTCTCAGGGCAGTGGCGAGAGGGACAGTGGCCTGGAGACCAGTGTGCCCCCGAAAGTGGACTGAGCAGAGCTCGCTTTGTGACTCGCGGGTTGACCTCATGCAGAGGCAATTGGAGGATATGCTTAAGATCATCGAATGTATGACTGCAAATCAGCAACTCCTCTTTGATCTGCACCGGCAGATTCCTCCATGTGGTCGCATCCTGATGCTGTGTCCCTTGCTGCTGGATAAGACCAACAGCTCTGACTGTGGTCCCTCTGGGCAGGTAAATGTTTACGCTGGGGAGGACCACGTTGTGGATGACTCCCAGGGTGGTATGGACGGTTCTGGGTCCTGTGATTTTTCAGTTGAGGCTCTGCTCTCACGGTCGGCCGCCGCTGGGGGACCCTAGGAGCCAGAGATGGGCCAGTCACCCCAGGGAGGCTGCTGCACCCCACTCTGTCCTCAGCCTCCTGAACCATGCAGCCAAGCACGGCCTGGATGGCGTGTCAAAAGTGGGTCCAACCTTTGCACTGTTGGCTTGGTTCAACCACAGGTAGCAGGGTGGCCCATCACCCAAATATGAAGTGCTGCACAACTGATGGGCTGCTGCTGAAGGCTTTGCAGTCCGTAGCCATGGCGTCTAGAGTGGCAAACACCAATGGTGTATCTGGAGGGCCTGATAAGGGACCTGGAGTCCAAGAGCCCAGATAACTCCGGCCAGAGATGGAAAGTGTTGTTTATAGGGTGAGCCAAGGTGCTAGTTCGCAGGCCAGGGTGCTTGGTAACTCCTTTGAAACAGCTGACCATAGCTCGACGTCACATCTGGTTGAGCCTATTAGGGTTAGCAGATGCAGACCGCAGTGCTGTGTTGGAGGCCGCCTAGGCACAGAAAGTCAGACTGCGCACACAATCCGTCCAGCGACCAGGGCTGTCAGGCTCTGCGGTGCAGCGAGCCATCAAGAGGCGTGGGAGTTTTTCCCGTGCTCATTTTGCAGAACAGAGCTCTTCCTGGGGTTCTGGGAAGGTAAGGCAGGGACCTCCCCAAAGCAAGGGCATGGCCACCCACGTTTTTAACCCGTTCTTGGGAGCGCACTGACCGGAGGCCAGCCAAGTCCCGCCAGCGCCCCTGATGGGGGTTATCAGGACTGCAGTTTGGGTACCGCCTGTAGTTCAGAGTCTGCCCACCCCACTTTCGAGGGGTTCTGGAGGCCGTGGTAAGGGACAGGTCCCGTTCCACCATTCTGGCCAACGCGATTTTGCCTTCATAGAAAAAAGGTGCAATACAACCTCTGTCTCCGAAGAGGGGGTTCCATTCGGGGTATTTTGTCGTCCCCAAAAGGATGGGGGAATTCCGCCCAATTCTGGTGTGATTAATCTGGTATAAATCTCCTGATCCAAGGTAGATATTCACAAAGTTCAGATTCACACTTCAAGATTCAAGATTCAAGATTTTTATTTGTCACATACTCATACAGATGTGCAGTGAAATGTAAAGACTGTTCCGCAAGGCCATGCAATAACACTCAAATTACTAATACACATATATACAGTAAAATAGAATATAATGTAAAATTTGAAAAATAAATATTTGAATAAACAAAATATAGAATATAGAATAATGTAAACAGTGTAAAGTGTCAGTGTGTAAAGTGTCCAGGGTGTCAAAGTGCAATGTGCAGATTGGAATGTGTGGTGTGTGTGCATCATGTAGTCACAGTTCTGTTTTGTTTTTAACTGAGGAGAGTGGAGTTAACAGTCCAGACAGCCTGAGGAAAGAAGCTCTTCCTGAGTCTTTCTGTGTTCGAGACTTTGAATTTCCTCAGCTGTCTGAGGTGATACAGGCGCTGCCTCGCCCTCTTCACCTGACTGTCTATGTGGGTTGTCCATGTTAAATCCTCAGAGATGTGCACCCCCAGGTACTAAGCTGCACACCCTGTCCACCAGCGTCCCATCATTTCTCAGTGGGGTGTAATTGCTCTGCAGTCCTCTCCTGAAGTCCACAATCAGCTCCTTGGTTTTGCTGACGTTCAGGAGCAGGTTGTTGTCCTGGCACCACTGTGAGAGGTTTCCAACCTCCCCTGTATACGTCTGCTCATAAATTTCACGATGATGTTGGAGCTGCTTGTGGCCACACAGTCATGTGTGTACAGGGTGAAGAGCAGGGGGCTGAGAACACAGCCCTGTGGTGCTCCGGTGTTGAGGGTGCAGGGGCTGGAGGTGTGTCTGCCACTTTGACCACCTGGGATCTGTTCGTCAGGAAGTCCAGGATCCAAGCACACAGGGAGGTTGATCAGCTTGGAATGGAGGTTGGTGGGGACTATGGTGTTGAAAGCTGAACTAACATCAATGAACAGCAGTCTCACATAGTCCCCCTTCCTTCTGTCCAGATGGGTGAGGGTGGTGTGCAGTACCTGGGAGACAGCATCATCTGTGGATCTGTTCAGTCTGTATGCAAACTGAAGTGGATCCAGAGACTCAGGGAGCAAGGAGCAGATTTGCATCTTGATGAGTCTCGCAAAGCACTTCATCACTTCTGAGGTGAGTGCTACTGGGCGATAGTCATTAAGGCAAGCTGGAGAGGCATTCTTCGGTACAGGACAATAATGGCTTTTTTCAGGCATGTGGGACCACAGACTGACTCAGGGAGAGGTTGAAGATGGTGGTAAACACTGGAGCTAACAGGTCGGCACAGGACTTCAGCACTCTGCCAGAAATACCATCTGGCCCGGCAGTCTTCCTGGTGTTTACCTTTTTCAGTATCCTCCTCACGTCGTGCTCTGACACAGTGAGCGGGTGCGAGTGTGCCGCTCCGGCCTCGGAGATCCTGCTGG